AAGTGTAGTAATTTTTGGATGTTTCATTATGCATTTAGTAAAAAAATACAAAAAATAAATTAGAATATACAAATATATATGAAATAAAGTGAAAACTTATTTTTTATTAAAAAGAAATATAAAAGAGACAAGAGTAGGAGAAAAGTCAAATAATAAGATTCAATTTATTTCAATTAGTTCACTTTACACTACCATTCACATCTTATTGTCTTAACTAAACTTGCATTATATAAACTTTTTCTTTGTATAAGGTGAAAGGGAGAAGAAGATTAAAGAGGAGATATTAATGTGAAATGAGTATATTTATTTGAGATGAACTTGTTGGATACAATGAAATTAAGCTGAAACTAAATGTGTGATTAGGGGAAGACCAAATTACACCTTTACCATTGAGGGAGTTTATCAATTAGTTGATAAAATAATTTCACCACAAAACCATATCCATAATTAATTATAATCTTATAACTGTTGATCATGTAAGTTAATTCGGAGTTCATAATTAATTATTAAGTTATCACACAATTAATTAGATAAGCTACCTAAAAATTCAAGTGACATACAGAATATTTACATGCATTGCCTATATTCAATTATCAATAACCATATTGAATTACAAAAATTTTCTCATTTTTTAAAATAAAATTACAAAAAATAAAGACAAGAGTATAACAATAATAAATAATAATAATTCATTACAAACTTTTATTTTTCTTTTTTCTCCTTTTTTTTTTCGAATGAAAGATATAATCATTTAAATTCCCTCTTTTCCTATTTGTCCACCTTATCACTTCAAACAAACAACTTCATTTTTTTTATCAGTCCTTCAATTCCTTTTACATAAAAAGAAAAAAAAAAGACATAGGAATTAGAAAAACAATCACGGTAAGTAACAAGAAGGGAGAATATGAGGTGGAAATCTCATCCAAGTCACTGCTTGGATAAGGGAAGAATATTAGGAAGAATATTACAAACTACTATTCCAATTGGACCATGTTTCTCCAACGTGGCTCTTCAAAATATTAAGGATGTCTTTAAATTAAAATTTATGATTAGTGTTGACCAATGATTGGATGTTATACAAATTTGTTTCAATTTTAATCAAAATCTATATTAACTACATACATCAATAATAATATTTGATATTTTAAATTAGATATGAAGAGAAAAATAATATATACATATTTTTGACAAAAATAAATATCTATAATTTATTAAATAATATAAAAGATTAATCTTTACATTTACTTTTGTTTTGATTTTTCTAATTTTTGTTTTTATATTTTTATTATTTTTAATAATTATTTAATTTTTATTTAATACTTTCATATAATTACAATTTTTTACTATTTAAAATTTAAAAGAAAAATATCCTCTTAACATTAATACCTTTTTCATGATTTTTAATTTTTTGTATAAACAATCAATGATTTAGTTAATATTTAAAAGTGTATTAAGAATACACTCATTTTCTAAGAATATAACAAACACATTTTTTAAGAGTGTGTATATAGGACAAACCCATTTTTTAAGAATGTCTATAAGACAAATTGTATCCCCATAATTATGAAAATAAGAATAATTATGAGAATGAAAATGAATATGTAATACTCAATTTCACAACCATCCCATCTCATTGTCTCCATATTTACAATTTAGTTTATAAAAACAATCAGGTCTTGCATGAATAAATTTTTAACTAAAACTTTTTTGTAAATTTATTTCTAAAGACAGCCAAATATATCACAAAACTCTCCAGATATTAAGAGTTTATAATCCTCACTCGGAACTACTATTCCCATTCTCCCTCTTCACTGCAATTTTTATGTAAAATTGAAGTCATCTTTACAAAACTATAGTTTTGAATCCATAACAAAAAAATATAAAAAAAAGTTGGCTCTTACCAAAAGTAGTACCTCTCTTACCTATAAACATTAAAATAAGAAGTCAGTGATGTCAAGTGAATTGCAAATTAATAAACTTAACCAACTTGATCTAAGCAAATGATAAAAGTCAAGAATGAAGTGTATGTAAACCTTCACCATTTTCAAGTATCATAATCTAGTTGAAGCCTAAGATTAATGTCAAGAACCTCAGAAGAGGCCCCTATCATCTGATGCCTAGCTTGGAACTTGTCGATGCATTTACATAATGAACAAGAGATTGAAACACTAAATACTGTGCATGGTAAGCATAAATTAGAGGATGACACGGTGTAAAGAATTGGGGGTACACCAGCACACATAGTTAACTAAGATCAATATCAAGCAGCTCTGGCTTTCCTCTTTCAGTCTGGTTGGCACCAAGCTCTGCGCCTAGTTGTCCTTTGTCCCCAGCCCCAAAGGCATACAACTTCCCTGATTCAGTTAAGGCAAAGGTATGAGCATTCCAATATACGGAATTCGTCATGCTAATCTGCACCACCCGTTCATTCATCTCTTTCATTGAAGTCACAAGCTTTGGACTTAACACATTTGCATGCATGTCTCCCTGCACAAGTACACTAGAAGATTAGATTTTAATACAATGTACTTTAGTCACCAATACAAAATTCAGAGTTCACTTTGCACTTTGAATTCAGTATTGTCATGTCATGCTATGTTGCCCCGTCATTCAGATTTAGCAATAAATTAGAAGCTACATTCTGAAACTGAAAGTTCTAATTCTTGCAAAACAGAAACCGCAAGCCAGTTTCATCATATCACGATTGCACAAGAGTTAAAGGAAACCGACTTCCTTTCGATAAAGGCAAACAAATCAAATAGAGTGAAAGGCATAAGAAAGTAGACCTGTTCATGATTCTCGGGGTTATGGCCAAGACTAGCAGATTCTCCACAACCAAATGAATACACATCACCATTATCAGCCACTACAAAGGTGGTGTAATCTCCTGTAGCAACATGAACTGCTTTGACATCTCTCAACCCTTCCACCACCTTTGGTACAGATTCAAATTCTTCATTACCGTGACCCAGGCAGCCATAACGACCCCACCCCCATGTGCAAATACGGCCATCCTGCCCCACCACAGCTGCATGCCACGCACCAGCTGCAACCACCATCGGCTTAAGGTTTAACAACTGGAACTGTTCGATCAGACGAGGATGCTTCTCATCAGTTTTTGAGCCATGTCCAAGCTTCCCACCCAAACCACACCCAACCGAGTACACTGACCTATTTAAGATTTCAGATAAGGATCACATAATCAATAAACATAAAGATAGTTATTACGAATAGAAAGATATGGAATGCAAAATCCAGTCTACGTAAGTTAAAAATAAAAAATCAGCAATGGTTAAAATTTTCATAATCTTGGAAGATGTGGACTTCATGCTAAATGCGTAGGCAATTCAAGAAAACAGAATGAAAGAGGTGTTGCTAATAAAGGAATAAATCATAACATACAAAAAATTCTATTTACACTCTATACACATCAATATGCGTAGAAAAAAATGAAGCGTAGAAGGGTGCCTAATTAGCATCATAAGACAGAACTTCTATCTCAATTCTTGTTGAAAAAGATGCAACAGTTAGGGAAATGAGATAAATCCGGTGCTCACATTCCGCTGGGTTGATAAGCCAAACAAAGCAGGTAGCAGAATCCAGCAGATATTTGCACTACTGGTATGTGTTCCAGAGCTCCTAGCAAAGGACGGGGTTCAAGATCATTTGGATCAGTATGGTGACCGAGTTTGCCATCATTACCCCATGAAAAAGTATAAACCCTCCCTTCTCTTGACAACACAGCAGTGAAAAAGTTTCCAATTACAGCTTGCACAACAAATATGTTTTTCAAAGAATCAACTAACTGTGGAGTTGTAACCAATTTAGATCCTTGAGTTCCAATTTCAGAATCACCAAAAGAGTCTTTCCCAAAGGCATAAACCTGCCCTGAATCACTGATCAACATTGTCCTCCTAGTCGCAGTAGTAGCTTGTATAATTCGGATGCCTTGCAAAGCTCTGCACCCCAAAGAGTTCGGTTAACTTTAATTCAACAAGTTTACTTTATATGTTTGCAGAAAAAGATATAAGAACTGTGGAATGTACTAACTAATGCTCCAACCTAATTGGTCGAGGTTTCCATTCCTCTCCAGTGGTGCCATGCCCAAGCTGGCCGGAACTATTGGACCCAAATGAATACACAAGCCCTTTTGATGTCACAGCAATGCTATGACCAGGACCTGCTATTGCCTGTGATTTCTCCCTTCGGCAACATGCTTCTCCAGCCATCAAAAACCTCAGAACCAATTTCCAAGAACCACCACATCTTTGCTTCAAATATTGCTGTTGTTCAGTCGTCATTGGCTTAAAAATGGCTCTTTTCTGGCACATGTCTAATGCAGCAAGCTCTGACAAGGACAAATCGAAATCTGGCTCAAACTTTGCTGGCTGCTTGAAGAAGGAGCATGTTGCCTACACCACATCAGATATGAAACCGGCAGTGCTGGAATTAGTACTTTCAATTAACAACTAAAAAACCTGTAAAATAGACATCACTTGCCTCAAGTTTAGCAAGGTCTTGAGCATACAAGTCGTATGATGTAAGCAGATGAAGAACAATGGAAGGATTAGCAGACAAGGGAAACTCTCCTGGACTGGAATCCCCAAAGCAATGTCGTTGCTCCCGTTGAAATGTAGGCAATTGTGTGGCAACAATAGTGGTAATTGGCTGATCTGGGATGTTATGGTATTGGATAGTAGGGGTTCCACTGGTAGTGGCATCCATGGGCACTGCCAACGTTATACAGTGCCCAAACACAGCAGAAGAGAGGATCTAACACTTCTGGGAATTATGAAAATATGCGTAAATGTATTACTATGTTAATATGTTAATTAATTATAGTTTCTCAGTTTATAACATTTGAAACTCTACACATTGTTCTAATTTGCAACAAGCATGTACCTCAAGAATGTATTTGACTAGCAAATCTCAGGCCTCAAACCTACAAAGAAAAAAACATACTTATAAAAGTGACAGTTTTTTTTTAATACAGCTGAATTACATGATTATTTGTCTTCATTTACAATCGCCATATAAATCAAAGACACAAGAAAGAAAGCATTTAGTCATGAAACTGAAGATGATCAGAAAGACATAGATTTTACTTTTCACAAACACCATACTAAAAAATCAGGAGCGGTTGAAATTGAGGATGAAATTAAGGTGAAGGAACCCAAAGAATAGAACTTTGACAAGTTTACTATTCCCAGATGATGGGATATTCTACAATCATAATAAAAAAAAAGAATTTCCTGATCGAAGTTGAAAAAATCGCCACTAATAAAAGGTTGATCATCCCAACCAAAACGAATCAAAATTTAAAATACCCTTCACCATGCACAAACAAAAATTCCTTTCTTTTTTACTTTCCCAGATCAGGGAAGCACAAGTAACCCAATGAACAAGTACACTTGTTGGATACGCAAACATGAAAAGTGGAAAGCAAAAAATTAAAAAGAAAAAAGAATCAAGGGAAGCGGAATATAAAACATGGTAAACAAGTTTTGGGTGAATGGAATTCATTATGATCGATATAGATCGAAACAGAGGCACGTAAAAAGGGTGATTACTTATGAGAGGGGTCAACAACAATTCCTCAAATTGAGTGTTCACCATCGATGGAGAATTGTACAGAGGGTTATCACGTTTTATGACGAATCAAAGATGTTGGTATGTGATGAAATGGCGTAGAGGTGAAAATCACAGAAAGAGAGACTCGAAGTTTTGTATGGTTTATGGGAGTGACTGGAAGAATCAATAATTTTAAGGTTCCTCAAATGGAGGGGTCTCTCTTTTCTATGTCCAGCGCTCTTATATGCTTTCTAATGAAGAAGAGATGATGATGACGATGAGGTGTCGCTACACGCTACCGTTACGTAGCAGTCATTTTTTTTCGGGTTAATGGATACTTTGAGAAGAGATTATTCATAATTAGCATTATAGTATGTTATAGTATATAATAACATATAACAATATTTGAAAAGAGTAAAAATAATTAGTTATTATTTGCTTTATATACTTAAAATTAAAATTATAATAAGTAAATAAATATTTCTAAAACTAAAAAACCTATATTCTTGTATAAATCAGTTTATTTATACTATTTTTTAAATCAGGTCTAATCTCCTATCTTTAAATATTCAAAATTGAGTTATGTAAAAATAATGAATCGAAAAGGTTAATAATGTTCTCACACTCAACTACCAGGTGAACAATCCTAATAATAATAATAATAATATAAACCAACTACTTATTTAATTACACATTATATATGATATTATTATAACTGAATAGTTTAGAGATGATAAAATCAAGTAATCTAGTTTGTTAAAGTTTGTTAAATCTTAACTTTTCTTACCTGATTTTGTTACTAATATCTTCTTCAAACCATAAAATAAAATTCAAATATATGGAATAAGAATACGTGCAACTTGAAATTGGTTAAGTTGATTAAACCATTTACTTGACCATCATATTAGACACATATATAGCATACTAAACAGCTTCAATTAATATAAAAAATTATAATTGTGCATATCACATAGGAATCACAACTACTATAATATCGCTTCCCATTTAGAGAAATTGAGGTAAGTTAGAAATTTTTCAATCTTCAATGGAATTGGTTAGTGAGTGGATTAAGTCACTAAATTTTAAAAAAATTAAAAATTCAGGAGAATTTTAAAGCAAAAACGGGAGACAAAAAACAAAGCAGTATTAATGTTTTATATTATTTGTTAATTAATTCTTATTTATTAGGCAAACAATATCTTATTTATTTTAAAACTTTTTTTAAAGTTTTGAAAAAGAAAATGCCTTATTTAATCATTCTTCTATTTTTTTAGATATTTCTAGAATGTAGAGCTTGCTCCAAAGATTGATAACATTTACCTCTGAAGATTGATAATTGAATTGATCAAGATCCACATATAGAATCGATCAGAGTTATTGGTGATGAAATCCACCTACAAATTCTTCAATACAAATCAGTAAGAAATAGAAAAATGATTGAATACAAATATTAAATTGAATAATAAGATGAAAGTATTGAATAAGCACTATTATGACATGAATATATATTTATAAGTTTTTGAGTCTAATATAATTGTTATATTCAGTTATAACAAATTCGACAAATCGACTAGAAAATATACTAGAAAATATATCTCCGAATATCTAGGAGAATATTTAGGGAACAGTTTTACTCTATTTATAAATTCAAATTTGCATCTTGATTTCTATTTCAAAAACTTTAAAAGAGAAATTTGGATAAAGATAGGATTTTCAAGAATTATCTCTTTTATTATATTTTCGTAACTATAAAATTTGTTATAACATATACGTATTAGTCAAAGAAGGAAGAAAGCATTGTCTTTTTGTATTTTTATTTTACACTTACCACAATACTCTAATTTATATACTCAGGTGTAATTATCACTGAGAGATGTTTTAATTTGTGGGGAGTGGAGGTGAAAATTGGGTTATTTAGAGGCTTTTATTATGTTGTCAACTTTTTACTAAGTAAAATTGTTTTTTACTGATACTTAGAAGTCAAAACTGCTCTCTCCATCAGTCAGCCAATAAGAGTGTTAACTTCTCAATCATATTTAAGTTTGGTGGTCTGAGCCATCTCTAGCTTCTACGTTGTCAGGACTAATTAAATTGCTATTTAACAAAAGAAAAGAGAAAAAAAAAATAAAAATAATGGAAGAATCTTACATAATCCACCAATACCTTATATACCTTATATGGACTGCAATAAGTGATGTGTCCAAATAAGAATATGTAGTTAAAAGAGTAGAAAACACATAAAACAATATCATGAAACAATTCCATTAACTTCTACACAATTAATCTAATAACATATTTAACAATATAAATACTTTCACAAAGGTTCAATCCAAATAGCAATGCAAATTTGTTTAAACTCTTTGCCATATTAAGAGACAATAGGCTGAAAGGATTACAAGATCAAATATTAGCAATATTTTAAACCAATTTTCATGATGGACCATTATATATAAATAATCACCCTAATTATTCCATATCCTTAAAAAGGTTCCATAATACTTGATATAACATTGTATTAGATATAAAATGATTAATGAGGAATGAAACCTCAAATATAACTATAATTCCAGGATATGTTATAAGGTAATGAAAAACTCAACTAGACCTGCGAGCATTATTAATATCTCTAAAAGAGTAAATGTTTTGATCTCGAAAACTTTACAACATAGTAAAATAACCAATGAATTGAAATCCTAATAAACAAAAAGATTTCATACTTCACTTGGTTAGAACAAAATTATTTAGACAAACTACAAATAGATATGATTAAATCGATAAAGAATATATTAAAGGCCTTTAAGGAGAAACAGAAGGAATTATACCATCATTAAAACAAACAAAGCTTTTTAATATTGAAAATAAAGAAATAACTGCTTCTTCCTTTAAAATGATAAAAGAGAATAGAGAAATTAATATTAAAGATATCCAAAATATTCTTAACTAGATTATACCAATGACATACTCCATCAAATACTAGTATTAAAAGACCTAGACACGGAAACTCCACCTTCAAAACATTCGTAACAAAGAATTAGGAAATAAAGATGCAAATGAATTAGAAGAATAATTTGATAATAACTTATATAAAATAAGTAAAGGAAGAATAAATTCTAACCCTAGAATAAGACTATTACCTTCAACAAGAAATTTTTCTAGGAAACCTAACCTTCCCCACATTCAATTTAAAGAATTAGAATTAGAATATCCATCAATATTTGATGGACAAGAAAATTTTGACTAAAATATTAATAGAATGATAAATCATTAAATAACAAGAAAAGCATGAAATGGATATAGTTGTCTCAGTCTACAGAGTCTAACATTCAAAAAACAAACAGTAAAATTAAATATTGAAGGTTTTACTGGCATCCTTTGGTGGGATAATTACTGTGTTAAACAATAAAAGAACCACTCAATACTAATAATGATTAAAACAATGCATAATTTTATTAGAGGTTCAAAAACATTTTATAGAAAAGCATTAGAACTACTACATGATCTGATATGTCCAACTTTTCGAGGTTTCAGAAGAGGTGTCAGTAGGGATATTGATGATTTTATTTCCATGATTTTTAAGATTGTAAACAAGTATTACCTTTAGTCTTTGCAGAAAAGGTTAAAAAATCGTAAAATAAATATCCTAATGCCAAAATAAAAGAGAGAACTTATAGTAGAATATTTTTAATATTTAAAAATACCAAAGTTTCTATATTCCATAATTTAGAAGTAGAAAATTGGATTATAGACTCAAGCCCGAGAAATTAGAGAGTTAGGAAACTTTTATATTGAATACAAATGTAAAACAACTTGTTGGTTTTTAGAATAAAAACAGTAGCACACTTGAAGCTAAAATGCTTCTGTATTATTGATTGTAAAGTAGTAATAAAGTCCTGAAAAATAACTACCCACTAACATTTTTATCCTAATTTTAATTCACTACTTCAACCCATAATTAAAAATTAACTAAATCCTAAAAATAAGGAACTGATTTTGACTCAATTAAAAATTAAAAATAAAATATTCCTAAAGCATTTTCTTAACATTCCTCCTTGCTTTAGGAAGGGTAAAATCTATTAAAGGTCAATCTAGCTTTAGTAAAAAGTTTCTGAGTCTTGAACTCTGAATTCCAACATAACCATTCTTCACAGCTTCAGTGTTGACTTTATTAGCACCTTTAGACTCCTTCTCTTCTTCGTCTTCATAATTAAGAAGGTCTTCCTCGTACGTCTCGTTCCAATAATGTACTAAATTGTTTCCTGATTTGTCCATGGTCACCCATGATACGATCATGACCCATCCACACGGTCACCTATTATTATATGAACCTGCTGAGAAACATTATAGCTAGAAGGGCCAGCAAAGACATCACTGTGAAGGGGCGTATCCTCAGCCCTATCAACCTTCCTGATGAAAGAAATTATTTTGCCAACATGGCAAACCACAGTCACATTGAGAAGGATCAAAACAAATCTTGCAGCCATTGCTACAAAATAAGAGAAACTCTTTGCGCCCAACATATGATGAGGATGTCTTAGCTTCTTGTGCCAGATTTCTGTCACATTTTCCTTGAGTGAGAAAGTTTGCTCCTCCTCCAATGGTTTTAGAGCAAAGCTTTTCCCTTTCATTTTCACCTTGAACATATCTTGACCAGCTGCAACTTTTGTCTTCAAAAATAACTCTAAATCCTCTTTCAATCAGTTGACCAACACTAAACAAATTTTGGTCAATTTTCGTCTAGAATAAATTTTGTGCCTGCACAGCTTGTAATTGCAACTGTCCTCTTCCTTTGACTTGGATATAATCACCATTGCCTATTCTGACTTTGGTGATTTCAGTTGGCCTCATATCTCTAAAGAGTTCCTTGTCAAAGGTCATGTGGTTAGTACAACCACTATCAATCACCCAACTTTCATTTTCTTCACTGCTTTCAAAACATGTGGCCACAAATAATTGATCTTCCTCCTCTTCCTGTTCAACAACTTAAATAATTGATCTTCCTCCTCCTCCTGTTCAACAACTTTAGCTTCTTCGTCTTGCGGTTGATTTTTGCTCATGCATATGACTGCTTCATGTCCCAGTTGATTGCACTTTATGCATTTAGCATCTTGTCTCCTCCAACATCTAAATGGAGGGTGACCCATTTTGCCACAATGTTGACAAGGAGGGTAATTTTTCTTTTCACCCTTTCCTTTATTGTAATTATCTGCACTGCTTTGATGGCTGGCTGGATGATT